CCACACTTGTTTTCGCTATTATATGTATTGTATACTTCTGTATACCTTATACAATGTTTTTACGGTCATAATTTTGTACACAAATATGTTGTGAGCTGATTTGAACAGACTCAAAAATAGGAAACGAGTTTTGTTTTTCTTTTTTGTACTTGTTTTGGTTAAAAATACGTCTGCGTTAATAGTGAGATTATATTTTCTCAATAAAGCATTTATGATTTTGCCCACGGTTACTACATGTGAGTTTGTTAAGTTGCACCTCGTTTTGCTCAATATTATATTCGCGTCTTTCTTCGAAGAGACAATTTTCAAGCAGTTTTATACCAATCACACAAGAGAAATTTGAAATTAACATAAAATATCAAAAATAGAAATATGGTAATTTTTTTCATAATTATTTGCTTAATGCTGATCAATTTTATTCTGTTTGCGTTGATACATTATTTTGAACATCCGAAATTTTTTTCCCTATCATTTTCTCGACTTTAACACTTCTAGGTTTAGTTTTTACACTACGTTGTGAATATTAGACCCTATTATTGGTTCAATGCTTGTGAATGTATTTCATAACATTCTTACAGAAGTGTTTCGGTGTCTACTCAAACATTAATAAATTATTTTGATGTATTAATGTGCCACACCTTTTATAACAATCTGATTTAAAAATATATTTAGCCAATTGACTAGTTAACGAGTTGACATGTTCTATGAATTTCACCGATATATGTATAAACTCACAGGTGATAGTCAAAAGGTTGAGACTGTTCTGATTCGCTGATTCTCTACTTGTATTGATTCTAAAAATGGTTCTTGACCTTTAAGTAGTTTATTAAAATCGTTATTCCACTACGATAAGCTAAAGCATCTAACAGTGTCACTTAAGGAGGACATCTAACTTAACGTTACTATGAGGTAGTAATCAGTCATCATTATTAGTGTTACTTAAAGAGAATACTTTATTTGATGTGGACATGGGGACTACTACTTTCAACAATTATAATCAAATATTCCTTTCTAAACTCGTGGAACTACCCTCTCATTGATAAACTAGTTGTATCATAATGATATCATCTAACAACCTCTTTTTTACATGTACAATATAATTACTATTTCATGTATCATCAATTACTTCATCTGTCTCGTCATACTACATATTTTCTTTTTCACTAGCATTTCCTTCACAGCTACTGCTTGCGACCGTATAAACATCCTTTTATTCTGGTTTTAATTATTTGTAAGATTCGACTTTTATTTTATTCTCCAGAATTTTTGTTTTATTGTCCTAGGCTTCGTTCAGCGTTGTTCGAATTACAGAAATCGTGGTATCGTTATACACACCAACAGTCTCAGCCATGATATCTTACATGACTTTCTGATGGTTTCTTATCCTCAAAGAGTCTATCAACATTCTATTTTATCACTCTACATTACCGTTGCCTTCAGCATATTCTGTAGTAATTACGTAATGTTCGATGTTACTTTCTGCAAAGAAGGTGACCACGTGTTTGTAGTTGAAATCTATTCCTAGATATAAAATAATTTTCTCTGTTTATTTATCTTTTTAGATTATTTTTTAAAAAACATGATAACTATTCCAGCTTGCTTTAATTTTAACAAATATAGCACATGCATTTCTTGTAAAGTAATCAATATCTGTTTTAAGACCTTTTGTTCTAAGAATTTAATCCATGATTAAGATACTGCCAACCAATTATCGTAATAATAAAAAGACGACCCGTATATGATTAGACAGTTCAAAAAAAATATAACATTTCATGTATTTTAATAAAAACAAAAGTTATGTATTGTTATGTAATTTTCATACTTTTAAACTCACATAACAATCTTTTACCCGTAATAGTTAGAGAAAATACCACTGCTGCCGCGAAAAATTTTTTTGATCATATTAAAAACGCAACTTACGTAAAAACAGATAAATGTAATATAAATTTTAGAGCAAGGAAAGACTGTTTTAGAAAATTTGTTGATTTAAACTTTTTGTTTCATTAATGAAACGGTGCGCTAAGTGTTCTGGTGTATTTTATCGCTCGTAAAAGACATAAACTACAAGAACTGTGGATGATTGAACAGCGACTAAGAGAAACTGAAGACCGCTTGATCACTTATCGAGATAAGACTACAGAATAATAATTATGGATTATTTACAAGGTACTATAATAAAAGGCCAGCCACATCCTACAAAACGTTCGTCCACTAAGGGACTTGAACCCCTGACCCCTGCCTTAGGAGGGCAATGCTCTGCCAACTGAGCTAAGCGGACTCGACGGTTTCAAAATTAAAATCTCTTATTCTATGAGATTACAAAACGGTTTAACAAACGCTAATTCAATAACAACCACAATTTGTAATACGTACCGATAAAAAATAACCATACAATATCAATTTCTTCTAAATTCTATGCTTTGAATTTAAAATGAGAAATGATGATCAAATTTTATTTGATAAAAGTATTGAATAATATCTCATTTTGCTTGATTGTTTTACTGGTCGTATGCAATTTCGTTTGTAGTCAATTTAAAGCACTATTACAATTGCACAAGTAACATTTAATCATTGATTGTGCAGCTCCTTTTCACCAAACACAATGCGCACTTCGTTGATAACTCACTTAGAGTCGCAATGATAACTTTCACCAATCAGTAATTGAAGTTCATCATGTGGTTGTACGTATAATTAATTTGCAATTAAGTTTATCCGTAACTTAAATTTTTAAAAATCAATTGACGAGTTACTTATCTGTTTTAAGCAATACCAGCCTTCGTTTTTCATTGAAAGCGTTTTATTTCTTTATCTTGATGCACATGCGAATATTCTTTTAATTCACCCATGTCAACCACGGCCAGTATTCTTTGATCCACATAAATCAGCCTCCATCTTAAATATTACTTCTAATTACTTGTCCGATTCGCTATTACTACTGAAATTATTACTCCCTCGTGTCAGCAGTAAATAAAGATCCTTGTTAAACAATAGTTATAATTTAAATGGATGTTCCTTTTCTAAAACATAAAAACCACGAAAATGATACGTTTCTTCTAATAAGATTGTATAGTACAGCGGAGAAATTATTTTGATGTAATATTGTGATTACTGAGAAATAATTTGCGAAAACATCGTGCGCAGTGTTTAATGCCGCTTTTTTAGAAACTCATTTTTAATTATTACACCATTCCTTCATTTTCTTGTGAATGGCTCAGTTTTGCTCTAAAGCGTTCACTTTTTGCACCCCATGAGTTTGCACAGCGAGGACGAATACGGGGGGTGTAAGTACAGCATTAGTTGCTGCAAGTGTGGCATTAGCATTCTGCCCAACTGCCTCAATATGTGTGGGCGCTGTAGAAGCACTGAGATTGATATAACACAGGGAGTAAAACTTTGCTATACTGTAGAAAACTGCAAAAAATGCAATAGATACTTGCTGCCACCGAAGAAATGGCTCGTTTTAGAGAACGAAACAGATCTGCTCTCTTTCCTTCTGCTAAGATACAAAGAAATTAGAAATTTAAACATCGTGAACTCGGGATTTAAGAAGACAGAAGAGCATTCGCGGAGAATAGTACTGGAGCTGGAAATAGCAAAAGATGATTTGAAATGCAACATTGACGTAGTGTTTAAGATCAGAAACAAGCAGTGCCTGGACTGCGACAAAATGGAAGCTAAGCAGTACTGGACAAGCATAGTGCAGATAAGACAGCGTTCCAAGAGCAAGCGAACATTTCTCTATCTCGAGCAGTCCATTCTCAAGCACAAAATGTACAAGCGGTGCACAAACATAAAGGAGCGGAAGGACGGCATTGATTTCTACTATTTGGACAAGCACAGCGCGTATGAAATGGTAAACTTTCTTGAGAGCACCATAGGAACGAAATTACTTGTGTCTAACCGCTTGATGACGGAGGATAGAAATAACAACAAAATGAAGTACAAATTCAGCTACTCGGTCGAGATATACCCGCTGTGCAAGGACGATCTTGTTGTATTGAGCGAGGAATTTGCAAAAAAGCGTAACGTTGGCAGGTTAGTGCTTGTACTCAAGGTGTCCAGAAAGATTACGCTCGTAGATCCTATCAGTTCAAGAACCATTGATGTTACCAACAAGTGTTTCTGGTCTAACAGGGAGTGCTTCACCGTTGTGATGACCTCCAAAGACTTGACGTTGTTCCAGGTGACTGAGATTGAACGAGACTATCAGAAGATGTACGGAACGGCTGAGAAAACGGAATCATGTTTTAAGTCGGTTGACTGCTTCGTAAGAAGGGAGTACAACAATGATATGCACTGCAAATCACATCTGGGCAGTATTCTGAGGGAAGACGACGAGGTGTACGGATATGATTTAGGAAACTGCAACCTTCATTTTATTGACCGGGACTTGTTTAAGGCGATCCTTGTCCGTAAAAATTACAAAGACCTCAATTTATCGATTAATACGGAGAAAGAGCACGACAGAGAGTACGAGTTCTTCTTAGAGGATGTGCTTGAGGACGATGACCTGAAGAAGAACGTTGATTTATACGATAGAACAACCAAAGTTATTGCTAATTTAGAGAGTATGAGGTTATAATTAAATCAGGCTGTTTTTCTATTGATTATATCGTAGTGTTCATACAAGATTACCATCGTGTTAAATATGATAATTATTCTGACTCTCATGTTGGACATGATAACTCAAAACTTGGTTCATGACAAATGAATTATTTAGAGACGTGCTATTCTATGCTAAGGCAACGATTTCAAATGAAATTTAGAAAGGCGCTGCACATTCTTGATTATCGTTGCTTTAATTATTTCTTATAGAAACTGTTAAAAGTTTTACTAAGAACGAGTTTCTTTCATTTTGTAGAAATTCTTAGCACTCATTCAGCAATTATTAAAAAATCCTTCTCAATCGTTAA